AGACTTTTTACTTGTTTTTTTTTTAAGTTCAGTACATGCTTTTTAAACCAAAAAAGGAGGAAAAAAGCATTAATTTTACTTTCAAAGATAATTTGATAGCGACCTTCAAATGTAAGAATATATATGTATTTTATTTATTTTTTTGCTTAGAAACAGCATATCATCACCTGAAATGCAAAAACACGTAACAAACATCATCGTTGAAATGCAAAAAGTCAAAACTAATAAAAAATTCAAAATTCACTTTTGGATTTATATGATGGATTTCATCGAACTACAACTCCCCACATCATTTTATGAAAAAAAAATTAAAATATTAGTTACGACTTTTTCCATTTCATTAACGTCTTTTTGCATTTCAGGTGACGATAAAATGTTTTTTAAAAAGAATTAATCACCACATATCCTCATCAGACCTCTTCTTCGAATCCACGAATCCAGTTGCCTTACCCACTGTGGTAAGTTAGCTATATAAACTGTTGTTCCTTTTTTCACTTTTTCATTTAGTCAACCCACAAACACTGTTTTCACGTCAGAAAAGGAAAAACATTGAAATCGCCTTATTTCTGAAGGTCAAAGTAATTGTTTTTACCTAACGAGACTATTTTTCCTAAATTCTCCATCACAAAATTTTTAAAATCCCGTTAAATTTATTTCACTGCTCTCGTTGGCGAGATATTAGATTTTGTGACAAAAAACAGTTGATAGTCCCAAACTGGCTAAATGCCCCAGAAAACTGATATTTTTGGATGAGATATTTAAAATTGTACCGGTCATCAGTATATTCCGTTTAGCTGCATATACTTCCACTGCAAATGATTTGGTGCATTTAAACGAAATGTGCAGCAAAACGGAAAAGCGAAATCTCTCGTTTGTTTTGTTTTAGGTTTTAAAATTTGTTTCAATACTGCTTTTCATTAAATTTTTTCAATGGCATTTAATGCGAATAAGGCCAGTTTAACACTAGTCGCATATAGGGGCATTATTATATTCTTCTGAGTATTCATCAAGGGCACATCCCACAGGTTCGCAAAAAGGGGGATATGTTCTATGCAAAAAGAACCTTTGAAAAAATTTGAGTGCAATTTTAGTACAGATCAAAGAAAACTTACTCAAAAACAGGAAAAGTGTTGCAAAGCGGAAATGCAGCTAAAAGTGAACATTTCGTACAAAATTAATTCCATGAAGCAGTATTTTGGCAAAATTGTGCTCGTAAGCAGAAAATGAAACTAAGCGAATAGGCAGCTAAACGAAATATACTTTAATATAAGAATCATGATTGAATAATTGAATCATGATGAGAATGACAATGATACTAGTACAGCAGTAACTACTTGTCAGGCACGCGACAGTATTTTCTAACTAGTCCTTTGCAGGGCTGTCCTAATTTCTTACAGCAGTTCGCACAGCTGGCATTGGGTACAAAACTTGCATTTGCAAACATACATACATACTTACACAATGTTTTTTTAATAGGCATATTGTCAAATAATCAATTGTAAGTAAATAAAAGTGCACATTTAACACAATTGTTGTATGTACTAAAATGCGCTTTACCTTTAATTTTGAGCCTTTCTTTCTATCGCCACCACCACCACTACCACCGCCAACACTTCGTTGCAGCTGCTTATTTGGCATAATGCTTTCACTTTTGGCCACAACAAACAGCAGCTATTGAACTTTTATCAAAATAAATGCAAAAAAAAAAAACAGATTTAATATCGCGAAAATATTCGCACTTGCCCAAGACGATTTCACTCTACACAGCACCGTTAAAACGCACACTACATAAAATACAGCGATAATTTGCGTATAAAAAAATGCGAGTCGGGTTTATTTAATTTTGAAATGTGTACAATATTTTGAAAATTGCAATTTTTCAAAAAACAACAACTTTTTTTATTTCAATATTTATTTTCACATATTTTTTTGTTTCACTCATTTCGTGTTTACTTGCTGTGTTTTTATTCATTTTCTATATTTTTATATTAGACATTTCCTTTCGCTGTTTTCCATTGAACTCAAGCAATTGCCGTAAAGCTATGAAGTTGCTATAGAAATTATTAGAATTGTTTTAGTTATCGATTAATCGAATTGATTGCTGAAATGTACGTACATACATACGTTCATATGTACATTTGTATATATATGGTATTACAGTACATAAGAATTCAAATGTACGAACTTATATACATGTATGTAAATAAGCATATATGTATGTATGTATATTTGTACGTAATTTTTCCCGTGCTTATCTACAATATGTACGAGAATACACTTCTAAAAAGTGAAGGTAAACCTGTTTGAGGTTAGTCGTAAAAATCACTGATGCAACCGCAGAAATTGTGCACTTGGTTATTTTTAATAGAGCTGTGCAAAACTACCTTGATAGATAGAAGCTTAATTCCGAGTAATAGTGGATTGATGTAAGTAAAATCTTAGTAATCAATAGAAAAAACAGTCGCTTATCTGCTCAACACTGCGTGAAAGACCAAAGCTCTTCCTAAACGAATTTATTGGGCCTTATCAGCATGACTTCAGACCTGGTAAGCCCAACATTGACCAGTTGTGCATGCAGTGTCGTGCGAAAAAGGCTAGCTCTACGCCGCTAGGTCTTAAATTTTGAAGCCCCGTAATACTAGTAAGGCTATGTAGACTGACATCGAGAATAATATTGAGTTCAGCCTAAATTTGGACGGACCTAACTGCGCTGTTTTAGAGAAGACCAATCAAACTCGTGCGATTTCTTCAATCTTATATTAGAAAGCTTTAAATGAGCTTTGCATCTGAATCGCAGCTGAACCATATACAGCAAACGCTCTTTGCCGCTAGCTTATGCAGATGATAGTTCCATTTAATAACTTTTCCAGTAAGTACTTGCAGCGAGAGCGTAAAGGAAAAATAGAGAGTAAAATTGAGAGGAGGATAAAATTTTCAGAAAAAGTTACTGAACGCAAAACTAGTAAAAACTTGCAACTTACGCCATTTAGACACTTTTTGATAGTTAAGTTTTGGCGCACAATTTTCTTTTTGATTAGGAATATTTCCCATCGTCATATAACTAAAAAAAAACATACAATAGATTTAAATTTTCCATCCATATTTTCATTTGACTAGTTATGTTTCATCAAATCATCTTTTTAAAACACTTTGTTTACATTTAAATTGGAAACATAACCTTACTTTTTGACTTCTGCAAATTCCTGCTAGTAAAATTTTGACTTGCAAGAATTTGCAGCTCTCTCCGTTATTACGCTCTCGAATTCGCTCTCTCTTGAAAATATTTTCGGTTATTGTATGCATTTCCAGTAAAAACTAGTTACAATTCGGAACAATTTTTTGATATTGAATGCACCTGATATTGACAACGTTGACATCAAAACAACGGCTGTTAGCGCAGAATTCTCCAGCTTAGAAAAGGAGGCAAAAGAAGTTGGTCTGGCGGCGAACGACGACCAGCCGGATTACCTTCTTCCATCACTTCACGTATTGGTATACACGACACTGTTTACGATTATAACTACGAAATAGTGAACAATTTTGTTTATTAACAACATCGATGACAGCCTAATGATTTGAAGATTAACTCTTTCCAACAGTCTTTCTTCAGCCTTTTTTCGTCTTTGGTATTTGATAAACTAAACTTCAAACAAAACAACGGTGTTTTCTGTTTTTCTAAAAAAAAAAACGAACGACAACTGCTTAGCAGGTGGTCAAAGTCGTTGTCCGTGAGTGCAATATTGGAATCAATTTTGTGTTCTATTTTTTATCTATTTTCACACCACGACATTTAAGTTAATAATTTAAAAAAACAAATTACCAAAAAATATAGGTAATAAACAGAAAAGTAAGTGCTTTAAAAATCTATAACTTTTTTCTTTTATAGACATTTTTTTGTAAGGAAAAATAAATACTTCCGATATATCCTTTAATTCATTTTTCTTTCTTTTTAAAAATGAATTTGAATATGCTTTTGTTGGCCGTATTTGACCGTGTTAAGACTATTAAAAATGTGTAAAGTGAAGAGTTTCGAGTTTAATCTGTCAATTTCATGTTGCAATTTTTTGCGTTTTCTGAGAAAATGGCTCTTTTTATAGGTATTCTTTATACTGTTAGTGAACTATTTGGATAAGAGAACTCAATAAAGAGGAAACAAAATGCTGTTTACAATTTTCCCGTTTGCAAAGCCTACTCCTTTTAACTGTTCAGCAGACAAATTAGGAATTTCAGAGCATTCAGGTTTTCAATTGAAATTGATATAATTCGGCAATGTTTTTTTGTTTTAATTAGCCATTCTATAAATTGCATTTGTAACTAGGTGGAATTATTTTTTTTCAATATAAATTAAAAAAACTGCATTCATTTCACAAATTAAAAAATTAGCCGTTATGACCCATCGGTCGTCAAGGGTTAAGATTTTTTTTTTTGAAAAATTTGGGAAATGGAATTCCAATCTATAAACAAAAAATATGTTTTCTTAAATAATCTACTTGGTTAGCCATAATTAATTTCGGCCACGAAAATGGGCAAAATTATTCTTAGTGCAGTGTAACAGCATAGAAATAGTTCTAAGCTCGTAAATTTCTTCATCGCGTCGTTAGGCCCTGTCTCCACAGGAAAACTCTGATGTCGAGATAACCATGTCACAAAATATATTTCCAATGGAGACCGCCTATTTCTCATGGGCTGTAATATATGTCAGCGCTTATTGCTTGACATCTATTGCAGGCAATTTGATAGTTTGACAGCCATATTTTCATTTGAAAGAAAGCGTGCTGGTGGTAACATCGATGAAATTTTGATATTAAATCAAAATAAAAATCTGTTCCCAATTGGATTATTTATGATTACGTTTTAGGAAATTATTCAGCAAGCATTAAATTGCCTCATTAGAAAGGCAATGAAAGTTCCTGAAGTTGTTCAGACCTGCCCCATATGATCAGCCGAAGTTGTCAAAGTGTGTAGAAAAAAAAATCAGCAACTTCGAACTTACTTTAGACTGATGCACTTAATTACTGCTTTTGTGACGCGTTAAAATAGTAATAACGTTCACCAGGCCCTGGCAGAAAGACATGTTCGTGAAATTCTTCCATTGTAAAAGTGTTCGGATCATAAACGAATGGTTTACGCCCCAAAATCTCACTATTTGTGGTCGAGGAAGCGGAGACGTCTTCTAGCTCCAGCTTCGATTGCGTCTTTCTTATTATCTTATCCAAAGATTTGATACTTTTAGTTTCCTCTTCCGGTTGTTCGCCATCTAGTTGTAACCGAGCGGTTGTTGGCTGGAATTCAGGTGGACGATTTTTCAAACATTCAGCATGATTTTTTACAGCATCTAAAGCGCGTAGTAATATTGGATTTCTAAAGATACAGAACATAAAATACAAACTACTGATCGGTGATTAACTTCATAGTCCACAGATGGCCTCACTTGATTCGGTTTACATATTCATCGATCTCATCCGTAGACTTCGTTGGGTCATTCAAATATGGATTTTCCGCGATGTATCGATTTCGCTTCACAATTATATCTATATCCAATTCAAGATCAACATCCAAACCACAATCACGTACATCAAAGTGCTTTATAGTTTGATTGAGTCGCAGAACCCTTAGGATTTCGATGCCTGCCTCTCGACTAATTGGCACGGTGCGCACATCCAGATGTTGAAGCGGCAAGTGTTTTAGAAATTCATTGGCAATGCAACATATTATCGCCGATTCAGTTATCTGTGCAGTTCGCAAGCACAAATGAGTGATTTGGTGCGTGCCAAGAAGTTTGGTGCTTAGCTCATGTAGGCCTTGGTCACCCAGCGGATTACCTGCCAAACCGAGATATTCCAGTTCCGCCAAAACGACTGATCCGATTGCCAAGAAATGCATAGCACGCGCTCCAATCAAATTATGCTCAAGCTCCAGTGATTTTATGGAGTTGTTATGACGAAACAGTTCAAACAAGCCAAGCCCACAATCGTCCTCCAAGTGATCGTAACCGAAATCTATTATTTCAATACTTTCCAAACATTTAAGTGACTTGGCTAGGATATATAACTTTGTCGCATCCATTTTGCTAGAGCGCAAACGGAAAATCTTTAATTTTTTCAGAAACGATATACCGCTGTTTGATCATAGATAAGACAAATGATATATGTATGTCATAAACATATTTATTGGCAATTCAAAATGCATTACTCACAATGCCAAACCCCTTATATCCTGGTATGATAAATTTAAATGTCTCTCATGAAAATCACGTTGCATATCCGGACCACGGAACTCGATGGTGAAGTTGACCAAGTTATCGAAAAAGCGCAAAAATCGCAAGCTGACGTGATGACAAAGCCTCATTGGATATTCAAGCAGTTTGATTGTCTTCAGCACGCGTTCCAAATCACGCCGATCATTTATAGGCGCTTGGCCATCATCTTCGGGCTCTTCAACTCTTATATCGAACACACTCTTCCGGTAGAAATATTTTCTTTCCAGGCTGTTTCTTCTTCAACTGGCGGTGGAGTTTTAACCTTCAGCGCCTCTCGAATTCGTCGTATTTCCTCCCGCTCTGCGCGTCGTTTTTGTTGCGCTTCTCTTAGTACACGAGTTCTTTCTTTGCGTTCATCCAATATATCCTGATGGAAGCGTTTCCATGCATCTTTTTCTTCATCATCAGTTTCTTGATTTGCTTTCTGTACTCTTTCTGAGTTCAAATATGATTCGGAGAAATCTGTATTATGTTTGACTGCGCTATGTGCATTTTTTCCCTCCTCCAATTCCTCCTCTTCCTCTTCGCCCATATTGTCCAATGATGCCTCTGTAGAGATAGGCGTTGCTGTCATCGATTCAACATCCGTGGAATCGCTCTCTGTTTCATCAGATTCGTCTAAATGTATACGATCTCTGAAGTAACGCTCCGACATCGATTGCAGCTTCCGTATATGCATTTCACTAATATAATCTTTGATTTTCATAGCTATGGGTCGCATTTCATCATCGGGCCAATATTCGACTGGACAAGCTTCAACTAACTCTACAAATTTCATTGACAATCCAAGACTACGCCAATCATATTCATGCTCCTTCTTAAAAGCTAAAGTACCGTCCTTATTCTTGGCCAATACAAAACGACGCCAATATTTCTCGTCCGTGATGTGGTAACATTCATCCAATGGTAGATCCAAACTCAGTGCATCATAGTACAAACGTAGTTTCAATGGATCTTCGGCCATGAACGTCATTTGCTCCGGTGTGAATGTTGAAGCTAAGACGCGTGTACAAAGATCTCTCAATGGACCTAACTTGATGTTCTCGATGAAAATCTCTGCGTATAAACTACGATTCTGCTCTGATCTCAATTTACGAGTTTCTAATGCGGGTCGATATACATCATATGCCATTAACAGGTCATGCTCTTGTGGTATGCCCATTGTATTCGTGCGAATAGGGTGAAAGTAATCAATCTGTTTTTCCAGCTCTTCCTCCTCCATTTTCGTGTAGTTTTTTAGAAATCTTTCGTTATCAATTAAAGCAAAGTAATATTTTTATTATTTACAAAATATGTGCGTGTTTTACTAGTTGCGTAATTTTGTTCTACATATTTTTCGAAAATAAAATTATTTAATGATTTCTTAAGTTTAAAGTGTTGTCAGTGCGTTTCAATTAAAATTCAACAGAGTGAAATATAAGGCAAGTAGACAGGCAAATACGAAACTCATCGTCAGCGTTTGCAGTTTACAAAGAGCTGTCGACGACCATGTACTCAAAGAAAGACCACGCTTCACGGTTCTATTCAAAAATCAGTTCAAGTCCCGATCTAAAAAAATTAAAATTTGCCGCTGTTGTTCTTACAAAAAACTTTATATCTTCTTTATTGGCGCTGTAACCGCCTAAACGATTTCGGCCGAGTCCCAAACAGCACGACAGTCATTTCTCTTCTGTACCAACTGACGCCAATTGGAAATACCTTCCCTACCTCTTCCGCAGTTACCAGCATCGCGATCCGCGTTGAAGCTTTCAGAGCTGGACCGTTTTTATCCATACGTAGCCGCTGTATTTTAATTCGCTGCACTATGTCTATATCATTGTAAAACTCATACAGCTCATCGTTAAATCGTAAAGCGGTATTCGCCGTCGCCAATGCTCAAAGAGCCGAAAATCTTTCGCAGAATCTTTCACTCGATACCACCACTGGAAAATGGCGAAAGCTTTCGACTGTCATTCACCTAGGAGTGGCCAGAAGTGATTCATTTGCGTACGATTTAATCGCAGCTCACGACATTCTGATATTTATGTCCACGTATCCTCTGGGTAGCGACTAAACACCCGTTTGAGTCCCGTCACGTTAATTCCCCTCGGTCAATGAGAACCAAAACTTTTACTTGCCAATGATAAATACACCCAGAGTTTTTTCCTTGTCTGCCGAGGGACTAGAGAAACACTTTTTTTGCTATTTTTCGGACCAGCTTCGTATCTGAGTCCTATGGAATCATAGCAATCACCTCCAACAACCCAACTAACCAATATAGCAATGTGAAAAAATGATCAGCCGCAGTTGTTTGGCTATCCCTTGGCTTTGAAATAGGGTTCGGTTAGTTGACTAATCGATTGGTCTAATAGCAAAAGTTTTTTAAAAAAATAATCAACTACACTTATTCGGCTAACCGTTTCCTTTCAGCTTTTTTAATTAAACGCTCACCAACAACTAGTAGAATATCCGTTCATTTTCAAGTTTTCGACTAGTTGTTTTCTTTCAGTAAACATACAGCCTTATTCTGCCTTATCCTGAGTTTCGCCTGAAAAAAAAATCAACTGAAAATTTGTCATCCGCCCTAGTAAAACCATGGAAACCAAAAGTGAAAAGTGAACCGGTTCGGGGAAAATGAAACTCATGATAAGGCTGATTTTGAAGTTTCATTTTCCCCGAACCGGTTCACTTTTCGATTTCATCAGCCTTTTCATGAGTTTCATCTTCCATGAACCGGTTCACTTTTCGCTTTTGATTTCCATGTATTTACTATGGGCGGATGAAAAATTTTCGAGGGAATTTTTTCAGGCGAAACTCAGTATAAGGCAGATTGTTTTCTTATATCTTTTGAATACTTATGCTTGCTGACAAAACCCAGCTGCACTAATAACAATAATTCTATGGTGACAAGCTGTTACTATTCGAATAATTTCCATTTTCAGACTACTCGATAGGGAGCGGTTTGCCGAAAGTGCACGGTTAGTCGAATTGCTATTTGACTATCAACTGTCAAAAAAGTTTCTAATCGACTAGTCGACTAACCGAATAACAGGATAGTCGATTTTTAACAAGAGTTCTCTATGAAAGACGCCATGAAAGACTTTTACTCCATCTCCGAATAAGTTTTTTAATAGCAAAAGTACACTCAGAGGTTTGCCATTGTCTGCCGAGGGATGACCACTACGTAAAAAAAAACTTTTGCGACAAAATATTGAACCCTGGACCTCCCAAGTGGCAGTATGCACCTCTAAACACTCGGCTACGGTGGAAAGAGCACTATTCAAATCCAAAAAAAAATCAGAAAAATGCAATAAAGAGTTAATAAATTAAAAATAAGATCAAACGTGAATTTTTCATTGATTTTTATTTGTTTTACTATTGATCTAAAATAACTTTGAACTTGTTTTGCTTTGCTATTTTTTAAGTAAAGCTATATTTACTGTTAATGGTTTTATTGTAATTTTTAGTCATGACTTCATACCAATATACGCAATTTCACTGTATGAAAACTATGTAAAGTAAAACCGGGTTATCCGGTTTTTTCTTAATTTAAAAATTAGGAGCCGTGTTTTTGTCAAATTGCAATTTCGCGAATGCAAATAATCGAACACCTTAATAGGCACCTAATTGAAAGTGCCGAGTTGATTTCACACATTTTGCTCGGATAACACCGTTCGACACGATTTTGCAGCCATGAAAAAATCAAGCATTCACGGAAGTAGATACAAAGTACCCGTATTTTGCCATTTTTCTAGATCAAGTCATTTACGGTTTCTAAGAGGAAAGTCAACCCCCCCCTATGCTGAATCGATCAAAAGAATGTTAACTTGTGATTTTTCAAACTTCATTAGACTTCCTGTTTTTGGGGTCAGTGATTACGATTTGATCGCCTCCGATTCAGCCTAGACCATAAGGAGCTTGCAATTGCTCATGCGCAAGTTTTCGCCTAGCGCTAAATGAGCTGAGATGGGGTCCTTCTATCCAAAAGTGATTGTAAGAGTGCTAATTTGGGTTGCGAGCCACAGTGATCCCTAGACAGTGATCCGTCCCCCTAAATACGGCGTTGCGGGCGATAATTTGAAAATGGATCGGATCAGCTTGAAACTTGTTACGCAGGTTTTGTTGGAGTCGCTGATTAAGGATCTGACATCAAATTAAAAAACTTCAAAATTATGGATCCAATATGGCGGAATATTTTTTTTTTCTATTTGTTGAATTTACTTTAAACTTTTTCATACATTTTATTTTAGCTGTTAAAGCTAATTTGTTACGCAACGCGAAGCAAAAGTTTTATCTGGCATAGCATTAAGATTTCACAAACATTTTTGCATTGTCACAGAAACCTTCATTTTCCACACTGGGTAGCGTATTTTGCCGACCTGATAAGGCAACTCAAGTTTAGAATAACATGTATGATAGTCAAAAATAATTTTACAAAGTTGTGTCGTTTAGTAAAAATATTTATTTCAATAAAAAAATACATTAAACTTTATTTACTAAACCATAACAAAGACATATGTATGTATAATAACTAAGCGCTTACAATGAAGTAGATTTCTAAATTTACATGAGTTAAGTTTTTCTATTACTTATGATCGAATGCGTTTTATATATCTAACAGGTAATTCAGGTAAGTAAATACATAGAAAGAATAACGTGGGTCCAAATAAAAGTGTACAAATCAGCCAACAGAAAATAGTGAATATATCAGATGGATCCATTTGGATGTGGAAATGAATTGTGTATTGTGTATTGTAACTGCTGCTTTCTGCACTATACCAGCCGTAATTCTTTTCGATTCTATTTCCCTGTTAGGTCCTAAGGCTTAGCAAATCTACGTAAGTAAATATTTGCAGTTGTTGAAAAAAAAAAGAATTTGTTTTAAAACTAATATCACTAGCATATATAATTTTATGCAACTCTAGATGTACAAATGTGTGTTCATAAAATAAATTATGTGTACTTTGAATATTTGTTTGCACAGAAGTTGTGTAAGTCGAATGTAGGTTACTTTTTGCGGGTGATGTAGTCAACTTGATTTATGAACGCCACCTGGAAATAAAGCAAAACAAAAAACATGGAAAAACAAGTTTATTACAACGTAGTGTTAAATTATTTTAAATAAGCAGAAATTAAAATCAAAAAATACTATTATTAAATTTTAAATATGCATTTTAGTATACCCAAAAGTAGAGTGTTAATTTTATTTTTATTTTAATATGTAGGTTGTTCTTGTGGTCACACCCGGACTTGCTGTGCAACCAAAAATGACTAGCATTCACTTTGGTCTCTGAATTTTATATGCACTCTCATTGCCGATAAACTTGCATGCAGGCATACGAAAGTACATACATACATAAGGCACGGATAATTTGTATATGCATATGTATATATAAAAGTATGAGTATATTTTATTATATTTTTTTCGTTTCTTGATTTGTTTTTATTTTACATTCGTGCTAAATGACGCGCAGAATTCAAGTAATCAGGAAGCCTGCGGTACGTATGTAGATATACTTAGCAGCCGACTACTCACCGTTGAACTGTTGCTTACTTAATTTTATAAAGGCGGTATTTTTTTTTTTGCGTTTTCCAAGCCAACAAATGCAGACAAACTGACCAACTTTCATGCGTGTTTTACGATATAAATATGCATATGATATGTACTTAAATATATACATACTTGTACATACAAATGTATTTATTACATATATGCAAAGATTTCAAAATATTGAGCTAAAAAATATTACGAGAACGTATACTATATATATATATATATATATATATATATATATATATGCATATGTATATAATCAACAAAGACCTTACTACATACACCACCGATGCCGATGCCGATGCCGATGCCTTTGGGCATTGTTCAAACCTATTCGACATGATCATTGGTACTCACCGCTGCAATGTGTGTTGCGCTACAGTCGGTCGTCGCTTTGTTTCGATTTGGTAGCCACTGAGTAACTGACTAATATTGAG